TAGCTTGAAACCCCCAGCCAGCTCTTCAGAAGAAAGAGGCTTTTCTAGTTCCATAAAGAGTTACAGTCTTAGAAACCCACAGAGGCAGCTCCACTCTGTCCTATCGAGTAGCTATGAGTTGACAGTGCCTCAATGGCACTTAGTTGTTTTGGCTTACATTTCTTTTGTTGTCTTGATTTACAACTGACTATAAACAAGTTAAGAAGCCTTGGTGGCAATAGGGTGTTAAATGCTGGTCTGCTGATCACATAGCCATTGGTTCACGGGTTCAAGCCCACCAGCTGATCCAAGAGAAAATGAGGTTATCTACTGTAGCAAAGATTTACAGTCTAAGAAACTGAATGGAACCATTCAATTGTCATATAGGGTCGTTACAAGTCAGAATCAACTCCATGGCTGTGAAGTTTATAACCCAATTGTGATGGTTAGTTTTTTGGGTACTTTTGGGTACTTGGCTAGGTCATGGTACCCTGTGATTTGTTCAAACACTAACTAAACTCTATTATGAAGTAGCTAATATGTGATTAAATCAATTGGCTAGGTAAAGGAGATGACCTCCGTAATGTGAGCAGGCCACAACCCACTCTGAAGAGTAACAAAGGCGTCAACCCAGTCAAGGAGTAATAAAGAAGTTTCCCCTAGGGTGCATCCTGTCTTCAGACTATAATTAGACATGTTGTCACTCTTTCCACTCTTCTGGGGGGGGGTCACAAGACTAGGAATCTCCATCTTGTTACCAGACCTATGGATTTGAGAGATTACAAATTTTGAACGTACTAGCCCATTTGGGTGCCATTTGGGTCAATTAGTTAAATTGCTCTCCTCCACGCTCTGTGTTAAATTCAGAACATTCTAATTTTGCTGGGTGTGTGCACGCCTGTTATTGGTTAAGGTTCACTAGAGAACCCTTAGACACTCATTTTTTTCTTTCATGACATTAGCTTCTCTAGTCAGATAGCCATGCTATAAGAGCAAGCTTAAGCTGTTAGGCCTCTGAGATTCATGGCACTGATTATCTATGAAGAATTCCTAAATATTGTCACAAAAAAATAATGTCAGATATTTAAAGGGTCATTAGGACCAAAGAACACAGTAGTGGCTCAGAGAAACAAAACAGAGGCCTACAAAATATAAACCACAAAGTAAAACAGAAAAAAAGTATTTCTAGATGATGGGAACACCAACAGTACAAACGCATATTAACTCCAGAGAAAGCACTGAAAGACAACGCTATGATTTAGCACTGAGATATTTGATAAGGGGCACAGATCACAAGGCGCTGACGTTTTGTTTTCAGCTTGCAATATTGCTGTGCTTATACCAAAGGAAATATTTCATCAGATACCGTATATCCATTTCTGTAAAAAATAATTAAATTGATAAGCTTGATTAATTATCTTTAATCTTAGAAGATAAACAGTAAAACACAAAGAATAAAAGCCAGAATTACTAAGGGAGAACAGGGCAGAATAATTTGTTCCTACTTGCTATTATTTTACAATCAGTAAAATAATATTCTGAAAAGACATCAAATGAATCCATAAGTGCACACATATTTAATATTCATCAGGCACCCAACATTGAGCTAGATTTTGTTACAGGACACAAAAGAAAAATAAGATAGTTTCTTATCTCTGGGAGTTTATAGTCCAGCTATAGAGATAAAATGGTAAAATCAAACAACTGACTCAAAATAGGGACTTGATCTCAGACTGAAGAATAAAAATAATTACATAGAAGCACTAGATGGTTGTTACATGATCCTCTGTTTTATTTTGCTTATTCTTTATATATTAACATGTTTATAGTGTGTATATTTCATCAATGAATTAATATATATACGCACATTGCAAATATGCATATCAATATTTCAAATGACAAAGGAGTACGATCAAGAGTAAGAATTAAAAACTGAAATCCTTCTTCTAATCCAGGGGTCCTCAAGCTTTTTAAACAGGGGGCCAGTTCACTGTCCCTCAGACCCATTGGAGGACTGGACTATAGTTTTAAAAAAAAACTATGAACAAATTCCTATGCACACTGCACATATCTTATTTTGAAGTCAAAAACAAAACGGGGCAAAAACACCTGGCGGGAGGGATTAATGTCCTCGGCGGGCCGCAGTTTGAGGACACCTGTTCTAATCCATCTAAGAGACCTACCCATTCTGACATTCAACCATTTCAGGACATAGTATATGAGCAAGAACCAATAGTACTGAAGGATGAAGTTGAAACTGCACTGAAAGCATTCAACTGAAAACAAGGCTCCAAGGACCAATGGAATACCAAATGACATGTTCAAAGAAGCTGATGAGGCACTGGAAGCACTCACTCATCTATATCAGGCTGTACCCATTCCAAAGGAGGGTGACCCAAAAGAGTGCTCAACTTATAGAACAATATCTATCATTATTATCATATGCAAGTAAAATCTTGAGAAGGGGAATTCTAGAACATTTCATTGTGCTCATGTGGAACTTGTACATGGACTCAAGCAGCAGTTGTGTACATAGAACAAGCGAGCAGCATAGCTTAAAATCAGGAAAGGTGTGCACCAGGGTTGTATCCTCTCATTATACCTATTCAATCTATATGCAGAACAAAGCATCAGAGAAGCTGGATTATCTGAAGAAGAATGAGAGGAAGGCATGTTAACAACTTATAATATGCAGATGACACAACTTCTTGATGAAAGTGAGAACTTA